GGCCGCCACCCGGGTGCTCTGTGGATGGCGCGCCCTCGCGCATGCGGCCCGCGGCCTCACGGAGCCCGTGTCTCGCTCGCGCAGGAAGCAGAAGGAGCTGGAGGAGCAGGAGCGCGAGAGGCGGCGGGAGGAGAAGCTGCGCAGGCGCGCGCAGAGGCAGCGGGAGCGCGAGCTGCGGCGCGGCCAGCGGAAGCTGGAGAGGCTGCAGGCGGAGGAGCAGCGGAAGCTGCAGGAGAAGATCCGGCTGGAGGAGCGCAAGCTGCTGCTGGCGCAGCGCAACCTGCAGTCCATCCGGCTCATCGCCGAGCTGCTGAGCCGCGCCAAGGTACCACCTGCCGCGCCTGCGGGACACGGCGCCCGGCCCGCGGGTGGGGCTCGTTGCGCGGGACGACGCTTCTGGCGTCCCCGGGTCGGAGCTGTGGGTCGGCCTCCCCACGTCCAGGCCTCGCAAGGGCCGGCCTGACGGGGGGGGGGGGGGGGGTTGGGGGGGGGAAGTGGGGGTGGGCAGAGCCCGCCAAGGGCCGCCCGCCCACCCCCGGGGCTCACTGGGGCCGCGCTGCTCAGGCCCCGTCAGGTCAGCCGCCCTGGGCCGGGGCCTGCCGGGGGTCGGGGCGGAGGCCGGAAGATGCGCGGTCCTCGCCGTGGCCCCGGGAAGCCAGGCGCCTGGAGCCGGGCCGCGCCTCCTCGGTCCGCAGCTGTAGAGCTGACAGGTCTCAGCTGCGCTGTGCGGACGGCCCTCCCGGTTCCCGCACCTGCTTCTCCTGGAGGCCAGGCCGGTAACTGCCGCGAGCCGGGCCGGGGGCGTGGACGGACCTTGCTGGGCGCGCCTGGTGCTCAGGCGGGCCGCGGAGTCAGGCGCGGGGCGACCCTAACCTGTTGTCTGGTTACAGTTGTGATCAGTCCGCGGGAAGGAGCGTGGCGGGCGCGCTGAGACCTGTGGCAGCGTGTTCTTGTTTCATGGTGAATATTGAAGACCCTGAGCAGGCCCGGCCCCGCGCCTCCGCGCCGTAATCTCAGTTCCCCGTGGCCGGCGACCTTCGCACCGACAGCAGGCGCAGAAGGCCCGCCCCGGGGCTGCGGCGAGGAGCTTTGCCAGGGCTTTCCTCCGCCGGCTGGGCAGGACGCCCGGGCGCGGGCAGGTGCGGCGGGCCGGGCTCCAGCCGGCCGCCCGCCCGCCCGCCCACCCGCCGGGTCCCCCAGGCCGGCGTCTGCAGAGCCGCGCGCCGCGGAGCGTCCGTGCGGGTTCAGAGCCCAGCTCAGGCGCGGCCCCCTCTGTCCCGCAGGCCGTGAAGCTGCGGCAGCAGGAGCAGCGGGAGGAGACGCTGCGGCTGCAGCAGCAGGAGGAGCGCCGGCGGCTGCAGGAGGCGGAGCTGCGGCGAGTGGAGGAGGAGAAGGAGCGCGCACTGGGCCTGCAGCGCCGGGAGCGCGAGCTGCGCGAGCGTCTGCTCAGCATCCTGCTCAGCAAGAAGGCGGACGGCGCCCGCGCGCCTGCGGGTCTGGGCGCCGCGCACGCGCACCTGCTGCAGCCGGTGCTGGACATCCTGCACACCGTGTCGGCCGGCTGCTCGGGCGCCGCCCCGCCCACGCCCACGCCCACGCCCGGCGCCCAGCGCGAGGACCAGCCCCGGCCGCCGGCCGCGGGTCCCGCCCAGAACATGAACGGCGGTGCCGCGGACGAGGCCCCGAGCAAGGAGGGGCAGGATCCTCGCCGTGTCGCCCCCGACGACGGCCCTTCCGAGAAGAGGTGCCCCGGCGTCCTCGCCTGCATCCCCGACAACAACCAGCAGCCCAAGGCCGCGCCTGCCGCCTGCGAGCAGAGCGCGCCCAGGAAGGACGCGCGCTCCGAGCAAGACAAGTGCAACCGTGAGCCCAGCGGGGGCCGCGGCCGGGCCAGCGGGGACCGGGGCAGCGATGACGGGCCCAAGCGGGAGCGCAGCCGGCCGCGGCGGGCGGGCAGCCGGGAGGACGTGAGGCTGCCCAAGGAGCGAAGGTCGCACAGGAAGCGCTCGCACCAGGACGGGAGCCCCCGCCGGCGCAGCGCCAGCCCCGAGCGCGAGCACGAGCACGAGCACGAGCGGTCGCGGAGGTCCCACAGCAGAGACCGGCATGGCCGGCGGGAGAGGAGCCGGGACCGGGACCGCAGGGGCAGCTCGGGCAGGAAGCGCAGCCGCCACCGACGCAGCGAGAGGTCGCGCTCGGGCTCCCCCAGCCGGCACCGCAGCACCTGGAACAGGTAATGCACGGAGGGCCCAGGCAGCAGCCGTCCCGGAGGACCAGTACGGGGGGAGGGGGGGCGCACGTCCTGCTGCTGCTCGCTGCCCCCCACGCCACCCCGCCACCCCCCGCAGCACACCCAGGGAGCTCCCTGGTGAGGAACGCACCGCCTCCAGCTTCCTCTCCCTCGTGGCCGTGGGTCTAGTTCACAGGCATCGTCCCCGGTGACGAGCTTTCGTTTCCCTTAAAACTGTTGATCCAATAGCTTTAACGTCAGCAGTCCTCTCTGAATCAGGAGGAACACGTAGGCCGCCAGCCGTGAGAATTGCAGACCACCCCACCCTGGGCACACAGGCTGGCAGCGCCGAATCCCTGCACCTGCTCGGAGACGCCTCTCATACTCACTTCACGGGAGCTGCCTGTCGCGTCACGGGGATGGACTGTCCGGTGTGGCGGCCACAGCCCCATGGGGCATGGAAAAGAGGAAGCCTCGCCCTGCGGGTGTTTTTTTGTTTTTTGGTTTCTTCCCTCTTTTGTAAGTTTAACAGACTGGGAACAAAGTTTGGGTGGGATGCCAAAGGAAAATGGCTCTGGTGCATTTAAGTCATCGGCGGGGAAGCTGTACGTTCTGCAACGCGGAAACTCAGACGTGCCGTCTTTTTAGGTGTGGGCAGGTGCGGAAGTGGTACGGAGGGTCCCAGAAGCTCACTTTTCTACAAATTCAAGTAATTCAGCGTAAAAAAAAAAAAAAGGTTGATTAAAGTTAGTTTTGGTTCCTAGTCAAGGTTAGCCTGTGTGGTTTTTTTAAGAAACCGTTTTGCTAAATTATTTTTACTTGGAGCGTTTCAGATTTAATGCTGCAAACATGTTAAATTTTATAATCGTTGGCTTCTCTGAGTGAAGCTCAGAAATACTTAAAAATAGCTGTTATCGTCCGCCTTAGGAGAGATGGTGTTTATTCCAGTTTGCATTTTTATGGTGAAATAAAATCCTTTTCCAATGAACTAATGTTTCCCATACTTAACGTGTGTTCTCGTTTTTAAGTTCTTTGGGCTACCTCACTGACCTGAGCGTAATTTGGCATATCTGAAATCGCTGGTTTCTAAAGATTCATTTCACATGCTGTGACTTTTGTAAAATAACTCCCTGGAGGAGAACACGGGTCCTGAGACTCATTCGTGTTTACCGGGAACATAAAAGTGTAGCAAGGTCACAGAAGCAGTCTTTTTAAAGCTACAGTGCCATTAAAAAAAAAAAAAAAAAAGACTTAAAGTGGTTCTCTCCTCACCTTGAGTTGAGGTAGCAGGTAAGTGTCAGTGCCCCTGCTGGGACCCCGAGCTGCAAGTGATCCCTCCGTCTGTCTGTGTTATAAGTCAAACGCAGATGTTCTCAGCACGTGGAGGGCAGTTATATGCTTTTTCCACCCTAGTCACATCATCGTCAAAATCTCAGGTCGGCACAATAGACTTGCACTTTCCTTCTCTGCGCTGGCATTGGTCTAGTTTGTCACCAGTCAAGGTGTGGGTGCAGGACGTGCTCAGATGCCCAGTGATTGGAGATGCCTCTCAGAGATGCACACGGGCAGCTGTGTCAGGATTCCTGCAGCCTGGCATTAAGTGTTTTCTGCCCCATCAGCAGCTCTGAGAAAGTCGGAGGACTGGGTGTCACTCTGGGTGCCCAGGATATGTTGCTGGATGAGACAGGCCCCCTGAAACATGGGAATCTTGAAGGAGCAAGTACAGGACTGAGGAGCAGGCCACGTGGCATCGCGTGTGTATGTAGGGGAGGTCTCTGAAGTCAAGGGAGATCTCCGTGAGGTCAGAGGAGGTTTCTCTGAAGTGAGGGAGAGTCAGATCAGCAGACATCTCTGAGGTCAGGGGAGGTATCGCTGTGGACGAGAGTCAGGCATCTGAATTCTAAACCTGTTCCACTGATCATGCGTGTTCCACCTCCAGAACCACTGAGCTACGCAGCAGAAGGTGGAGGCGTAATCAGTGCTGCCCAGGCCAATCCTCCCTTACCGACTGGTCCTCCGCCTGCTGGGTCTGTCAGTTCTGAGACAGGTGGCATTGACATCTCCAGCCGTAGTAGCAGATGCATCTTTTTCTCTTCAAAGGCCTAACAGTTTGTGCCTTTTGTGTTTGACACTGTGTTATTAGTTGCGTACAAGTTAAGGATTGTCGCGTCTCCTTGGAGAACTGGCTCCTTGGCCATTTGCAGTGCCCTTCTGTACCTTGATAATTTTCCTTGTCCTGAAGTCTGTTTGGTGGTAAATGGGGAGGAAAGGAATTTGATGGAAAGAGATGTCCGTTACGTGTATGTGTCTCCTAGACACACACACAGCATCCGAGGGTGTCAGGGGAAAAGAAGGTTTTGGCGTAAGCCATGATTGTTCTCTGTTTTCAAGCCAAGCCCCGCAGAGGAGAGGACAGTAGTTTTTTGTTGCGACACAGCAGATACTTCTAGAGGCAACGTGCCTAAGAATGAGGATTTGGGAGCCTGGCTTAGAACCGTTTCACCCAACAGCCCCTCTTCTGTGAGGCTGACGGCAGTGATGTGCATGGGGACCAGGTGAAGAGCACCCATACAGCCCGTGTGGGATCCTGCTGGTTTGGACTCATCTTGGGTTTAAGACACTTGTCGTCCTTATGACTTAGGGTGGGATTTCCCAGGTTACCAGTGCAACCAACCCTTATCCACGGGTTCCACATCCACGGGTTCAGTGAACCGCAGATTGAATGCTACGTTTACCACGCGCGCTTGGTTGAAGCCGTGTGTGCGGAACCATGGATACGGGAGGTGGACTCTGGGCCTTCAGCATCGGCGAATTTTGGTACCGGCGGTGAGTCCTGGAACGGATCCCCGTAGATACCGAGGGACAATTGTGCTTTCATTTATTTTCTATAAGTTCTCTTGTTTTCTGTAGGAGTTGTTAGCGATAAAAAAGAGATTAATTGAAACACGTCTGTTAACTGCTTAGATTTCATCTTCACAAACCAGGATTTTTCTTAGTTCTGAGGTGACTAGATTGTAACCAAGGGCGCTGTGAGTAAGGAACACGTTCACTGAGGAAATGGAAGGTTTCCACCCTAGAAGCGTTGTCCTGCCAACTTCTGGGGTGAATGAATGGGAGGTTTGCTTCTCCTTTTCTGTCTGTCTCACAGCATTTTGTCCTGAGCCTCTTTCTAGCCGAGTGGGCTCATTATCTCATTGTAGGTAAATAAAAACCACGCCCAATTTATCCGTTTCACCCGGCGGAGATGTTCTCCAGACCTGAGGGCCTGGGGGTCACCAGGTGTTCTGGGATTTGGGACTTGACTGTGGCTCTTGTGTCCTCTGGAACCTAGCGACCTGCATTCGAGGAGAGATTGGGACATGAGAAAAGGCGCAGAGCTCTCAGGGAGGGCTCCAGGGAAGAACGAGGCTAACGTGGCGTCGGGCAGTTGACTCACCCCTTTCACTGCCATCTTCACTCCTGCAAACCCTGCATCTGACAGGCGACTATCGATGCAAAGGGATGTTTGACCTGCTTCCGTTTTGTAGTTGCTTTTACTTATCTGGATTTTTAAAGTTCTGCCAAAGAGGAGGGTGTCACCACTGTAACCGTGCCTCGCTCCTCCAGGCACCTGTGCTTTTCCTCACCATGCATATCCCTGCTCAACACACACGGCGGAAACCCCGCCGACTCACCTGAGTCACCTAGGCTGCTGTCTTGCCAGCTAGAGTCCCCACTTCCTGTCTTTGCCCTGTGATCTCCCACGTGGGGCTTCATGCCAGCTCACGGGGTCCTTGATGCACACACGGTTTGAAGGGGGTCGGGTCCATTTCTCAGTCCTCGGCTTCGCTCTAAACTTGTTCTTGTAACTGATCGTCCTGGGAATGTGCCTGGCTCCAGCGTCCCCCTTCTCCTCCCTCTCGCGGCCCCCGTGGAGGCACCGTGCCTCCTCCTTCCTCATACTTGGGCTCTGCTCCCCAAGGTGACACGGCTTCTAGGGTCCCAGAGTCACCTGGAGAGGTGGGTCTGGGAGCGACACGGTGACAGCGGAACGGAAGAAGGGCCTCCTGGAGGTGTGTGCTGGGAGATTGTTAAAAAGGAAGTGACACCCTTCTGTCCATGTTTCTGCTCCCACCAAGTACATGAACCAGGTTCCCCCAGACCCCAGGAAAACCGGGAGAAAGTTCACTCTGAGCCATCATGAGAGGAAGCCCTGTCCACCTCGTTTAGAGGACGCATTTCCAGTCGAACATCAGTTATTAACATTTGCAAAGTTTTCATTTATACACCTGCTCACGATGAGTCAGAGCACAGAAAACACATAAAACCTTCTGTTAACAGTAAAAAACCCAAAAAACGTAAATTCTCGTACAATTTCAATTTATATATTCTATTTTTTCTAGTTTTATTGAGATATAATTGACATATTGGTTTGAAATTTGTGTATACTGCAAAACGATCACCACGGAAAGGCTAGTTAACCTCCGTCACCTCGTGTATAGACATCTTACTTCACAAGTATGATGGGATGACCAGGTACATTTCTAAGCACAAAACATAGAGCCCAGAATCCTGGCGGGGAGAAAAGTGAGTTGTAGAACGTGGATAGAACTAGAAAAGGAAACCGCATGACATTATTATTTTAAACACACTGTCTTGTGGGGTTTTAAGTGGATGGATATAGTTATTAAATCGCTAGGGTGTTCAGGGTCTATCAGACACTCTAAAGACTGCAGCAAATTGGAAAAACGTCTATTATATGCCAAGCATTGCACCGTTTGCTTTTGCATTTAGATGATATTAAAACAAAAAAAGCGTAGCGGGTACCTGAAAGACCCCTCCCCCGGGATGGCTGTCTGGTTTCAGACTTCCAGGTGTTCTGGGCTCACCTCGGGGTGAGAGGAAAAGGCAGGATTCCACGCGGCAGGTGTGTTGGGGGGGGGGCGGAGCTCCTGTAACAGGTGTTTTCCAGGTGATGCTCGTGCTCTGTCGGAGGAGGGGGTGCACTTCGTGGAGCGTCCCTTCCAGCCCCTCCCACCTGCCCCACTGCCCACTCGCACATGGCGTGCCCGAGGCCCAGCCCCCTCCTCCGGGCAGGCCCTTCCCGGGTGCTATACGTACCCGCCTCTCTCATCAGGCCCCTCCAATCAGCGCACAGACAGGCTGACGTCTCCATCCCCGAGCTGTGGACGTGTCTCCCCACACCCGCTTCAGCCTGAGTCCCCCCATCTCTGCTCTCGTCCATAAAACCCCTGCAGGAGGGTCTTCTCTCCTGCCCTGCAACTCAGGCGCTGCCCTCACACTCCCACCACCCTCACCGCCCCGTTAGAACGCTCGCACCCAGGCGCTGTAGACGGAACGTTCGCGTCCCCCCAAATTCAGACGTGTTGTGGGGGGCCCCTTACCCCCAAGGCGATGGTGTCAGGAGGTGGGGCCTCTGGGAGGTGATGAGGTCATGAGGGTGGAGCCCCCGTGGATGGGATTAGTGTCCTTAGAAAAGAGACCCCAGGGAGCTCCCTCACCGCTTCCTCCGTGTGAGGACACAGTGAGAAGACGTCCATCTAGGAACCAGGAGGAGGGTCCTCACCAGATGCTAAATCTGCCCTCGCCGGGATCTCGGACGTCCAGCCTCCGGGACCGTGAGGAATAAGTGTGTGTTGCTTATAAGCCCCCAGTCTGAGGTATTACAGGAGCTGCAAGTAGCGAATACCAGGTGGTCTCCAAGTACGTCTGAACTCGCCCTCTCCAATCAGGTTCCCTCTTCCTTTAGGGCAGCAAGTTAAATCATCCTGCGGCCCCAGGCTCCACACTAAAAAGCAAACAATTTGCTCAATTAAAAAAGCCAAAACCCACTAGAACGGCAGTACTACTACTGCTACTAATCACCATCACTGATAGTAATAATAAAAGGGAAATAAACACTGACAAGGATGTGGAGAAACTGGGTCGCTGTGCACAGTTGGTGGGAATGTAAATAGGGCAGCTGCTGTGGGAAGCAGTATAGCAGTTTCCTAAAAAGTTAAACATAGACGTACCGTGGGACCCAGTCATCCCACTGCCAAGTGTACACCCAGAGGAACTGAAAACAGTCATCTAAGAAAAACTTGTACAGGGATATTCATAACAGCAGTATTTACAACGGCGACAAATGTGGAAACAACCCAAGTGTCCATGGATGGATGGATACACAGAACGGGGTCCATGCACATAGTAGAATATGACTCAGCCGTGAAAAGGAGCGAAGCCCTGACACAGGCTACAGCGTGGATGGACCTTGAACACACGATGCTCAGTGAGAGAAGCAGACACAGAAGGACACACAGTGTGTGATTCCATTGGTAGGAAACGTCCAGAACAGGCAAATCCACAGAGACAAGAAAGGAGATCCATGGTTGTCGGGGGTGGGGGAGGGGGAGTGACTTTTCATGGGGACGGGGTCTCCTGGGGGGGGGATGAGAAGGTTTGATAGAGGTGATGTTTGCACAACACTGTGAAAGTCCTAAACGCTTCTGAGCTGTTTACCTGAAATAGTTAAAATGGTCAGTTTTATGTTACGTGCATTTTACACGAATGAAAACCTAAGGATATGGTGTTTTGGCTTTTCCTTTGATTTCTCCTTTCCCGGCTTCTTGGTCTAACTCTGTAACGGAGCCAAACTCGGGTCCTGTGTGCAGTGAAGCCAGTCTCCTTCACCCCTGTGGCGAAGGAAAGTGCAGCCTTACTGCAGGGCCCAGCAAGGAGAACAGGGCTGGTGCTCAAAAACCCGACCTCCCCGAAGGGCTTCGGCAAAAGGCGAAGCACGGTAGGCGTGTCCCAGGATGTGCGATCAGCTCCTGCACAGTTCTCTGATTGCCTGACGGTGAGGGACCAGGACAGGGTCACAGGGGTTCACGTCATCAGTCCTCAGCTGCCAGGAGGTCTGGGGGCTATGTGTTCATGATCATCAGGTAGTTAATTTCTTCCACTTGGTGGTGGTTTTAGCCTCTGCAGAGCAACTCCGGAAACGTGCACCGGATACTGTTATCTAAGTACTTTAGGGAGGAGCTACGGCAGAGGGCATGGGGGAGGGGTCTGTCCCGGAAGGCCCCAGAGGCTCCTACTCGGTTACAGTTCCCTGGGCGCCTCGATCTTTGAAAAGGTTTAGAAGGCTGGTTTGGTTCAGGGACTGGAGGGTGTACAGCTCCCCAGACATCGGCCAGCCCCGCCCTCCTGGGCCGCGGGGGCGGGGGAGCAGAGGATGGTGTGGCCGCCGCCCACCCGCCATGCTTCAGTCTCTCCAGGCTTAGGCCCACGCGGCTCACAGCCCGGGCGTCTCTCCTGCTCCTGCGTCGTCCTTACACCAGCTCAGTATCTCCTCAGCCTTGGACCCCACCCGCTGCAAGGCGCAGAGTGAGGGGTGCACCTCTGAAACAGGAACGCTGTTGTCCAACACTGATCCGTGACTCGCCGCTACTGGTGAGAAATCTGTATGGGTTTCCTGGGGCGTCTGTGACAGATGGACACAAGCTGGGGGCTTAAAATAACAAACAGTCATCCTTCCCCAATCCTGGAGGCCAGGCATGTGAGGGTCAAGGTGTCCCAGGGCCGAGGTCCCTCCAGAGGCTCCAGGGGAGGGTCCTTCCCGCCTCTTCCAGCTTCTGGGGGCTCCAGGCGTCCCTGGGCTTGTGGCCGCATCCCTCCCGTCTCTGCCTCTGTCTTCCCGGGGCTTCTCCTCTGTGTCTGGGTCTCTCCTCTTCTGTGTCTTAGAAGGACCCTGTCATTGGATATAGGGCCACCCTCCTCCAGGAGGACCTCGTCTCAGACCCTTCACTGCATCACACCCGCAAAGACTGCATTTCCAAATAAGG